TGGCTATCGCAGTGCCCCGGGGTAACAGGAGAGGGAGATGGCGGGAGAGTGGGAAGGGGAGTGGTAGAGAGGCAAAGACGTTAAAAGGGAGAGTGAGAGTCTTCAGAGGAACAAAAAACATGCTGATATTTTACATTGATGGATAATTTAGGTGAAAGGAATGCAGAGCTTTATTGCGGCTGATGCTTTGTTTGGGAGGATCCCAGATTTTGGCGTCGCTGGTTTGAAATAAAACGTTCCAGAAGCAAGGTGATGATTGCACCATTGCGAGACCGTGACAGGATGGTGATGGGCGTGGGGAGGCCTTCATGCAGCAGTGGATTGACCGTGGCTGTAGATGACGATGGTTGATGATTACAGTGCTGAAGAGTGCTCAAACGATTACACAAATCTATCCGATTGCCAGTTCATATTTAAACGAACGTCGCATTCTGCCGTTCGACTTTACAAAGAGAACCCTCCCCCCGCAACGCCCCCCCCACCCCGTACCGTTGACGAGCAGCCAAATTTTCTCCCACTGCCGGGAGAAACCGACGTTTGTCTTCTTCGCCTGCTGAGGGCAAAACGTCGGACATCGTGCCAAACAACTCGAAAAGACGCACCAGAGAGCTGGGTTTTTTTAAAATCAATTTGCGCGGGAGGGCTCCCGTAATTTTTGCGTGGGGCGTCGTCGCATTGGAACAGAAGCGCCGCGAGTTATATTTTTTATAAACGTCTCTTTCTCTGGACTCTGATGACACAGTCATGAAGAGGCACGTGGAACGCGCCGCAGCGCTTGGGCCCACAACAATTTTCAGCTCCGAGCTGACCGGTGCTATCTTGGTGCGCAGCGTGTAGTGTGCAGCTTGCGTCCCGGCGTGTTCTCGCTCGTGCCGCCGACTCGGGAGTTAATAGACATGTCAGTCCATTGTGCGGAGACGTATTCTGGTGTACGGCACGCCGGTGCCCCTGTAGGTCTCTCAAACCGAGCTTGTAATGACTTCGCCCAATTCAAGGGAACGCGGCGGCGGACCGGGGACAGCCGCAGACGCGAGGGGAGTGTCGCTCGTTCTCCTCTGCTGCCCCCCGTAGTCTGGAACTGCCCCCCCCCTCCCACCCCCCTCAGCCGATCGTGCCATCAACTCCAGGTTCAGGACCCCCCCCCCCCCTCTGCCTTTAATTCTCTCTGCCTGTGCCCGACTGACTGCGTCTTTCCATCGACAAAATAAATATTCCCACCGTTGCTGCCCCGGTGTCTTAAAACGCGGGCGCGGTTTACACGCCGCGAAAATTCGCGTCGCGCGCGGTATTACGTTTTAGTTGGTAAACCCGTGTGCCTGTGCTTACGCATGTGGCCGGACACGGCGTCCATGAGGAGTGAACACGCGGTTGTGTTTTTCGGGGGTGCGTAACAAAAGCCATGTTTACGTGCTGGTGATTGTTCTCATTTGATTTGTGTTGGGGGGGGGAATGAGCCGGTGTCACCCCGCTAACAACAATGGGCGGGCGAGAGTCACAAAGGCACTGCGTGCGCAGCGTGGACGTGACGACGCATCACGCCGTAGATCCTCTCGCCCGCGGCACGTGGGTGTACTTAGGGGCCATCCATAAATGACGTCACGCGATTTTGGACGATTTTTGACCCCCCCCCCCCTAGTGACACGGCGTCACAAAGTCAGACCACCCCCCTCAAATATGACAGCACAAAGCTCTGCCCCCCCCCCCAAATAAAACATGCTTCAAATCGCTTTAAACTATTGTCATTGTAGTGCGTATTTAATGTGGCGCTGCACTCTGATGTTGTAGGAGAAAACATTTATTAAAAAGTCTATTTAATTAAGTAGAACGTGTTGTCTATATTTATTTAAAGTTGCACATTTTTATGTGACGTCACATTTCTCAACCCCCCCCCTCCCCTTCGTCACAAATTTCTGACCCCCCCCCCCAGGTGCGTGACGTCATTTATGGACGGCCCCTTAGTCGCGCGAGCAGTAACCGATTATTTATCCAATTCGTGTACGTCGTGTCTGGTGACTGGTTCTCGTGACTCATGCAGCCACTAGAGGCGCTACATTTGCGCAAAGAATCCGTTCTAAAACCGTGACCCCCCCCCGCCCCCCACCACCAAACATGCGCGGGTGGTGAACTGAGTAGCGTGCACGTAGCGACCGCGCTTGTGTGTATACTGCTTATGTGCGGTGTACATGTGTGCATGTGCAGCGTGTGCATTTGCGTATGTTTGGTGCGTACATTGTACCTGCTCGGTACACACGCGCGCAGCGAGCATGTTGCGCGTGCTTGGAAAAAGACTGTTAAAAAAATATATTGCTACAACAAACACTTGTTCGCCTGTTTACAATACTGTACGCATGTATGTACGTACATCCATAATGTAAACAACCGATTCAATCATCCAAACAGTGGATAAGGATGTTTGTCTGCGCGCACGATTCCGGCGAAATGCCCCGGGCGAAGAATATCTCGGGCGCTCCATTCTCGCTTTTATCTCGAACCGGAAGACATGCAGGAGGAACGTCGCGACAGCAGAGCTGGCGCACGCTCGCAAGCGCACAAGAGACTCGGGGCCATCGGCCCCGGGGGGACCCTCGATAGATCAACTCCACCCTCCCCTCCCGATTAGCGTCGCCCACGGCGGCCCGAACTACGGCGGGAGGCCGGGGGGCCCGCGCACGCCGCGTCCGCCGATCGTCCCCGTTGTGCCCCCCTCTCCCGGCATTCCGCGCCAGCGACGAAAGTTTCCCGCAAAAAAAACGGACTCGCGCACGTTGCCGGGTCGCGAAGAATCGAAGAAGCCTTTCTCCCCCCCACCCCTCCTCCTTCACGGGTAAAAATATTGGCGAGTCCGTTTCTGAATCCCTGCAAAAACCGTAATCTCTTACCCCACCCTTAACCCATGCCCCCCCACCTCCACCAATCCCTGTGACAAAACCCTGTTATTTTGCCGTCACCCCGAGCGAGCGATTATAGCGAGCGGGAACGTGGAGGAACTCGTTTCGCCGTGCCTCCCTTCGTGGCGCTACGTTCGGGGGGGGGGGGGGGGGGGGCGGGGAACGCTCGACAGTGAATTTAGCTCATGGAGGGGGCGGCACACCCCGTCTTCTGCTGTGCCCTCTCATCTTGGTGGCCCCCTCTGGAATCTAACGTCTGCTTAGCAACTGCAACGAGCACAGGGGGGGTCGGCAACCTGCGGCTCCGAAGCTGCGTTGCGGCTCTTTAAAGGGCCCACGCCTCGTGACGTTACTTATTAAGGACCACCGTCTCGTATTCACTACAGTGCATTGCGGCTCTTGAAATATTTTTGTTTGGTTGCCGACCCCTGGCGTAACCAGAACTACATCTAAAAGCCCTTGCCTTCGCCCCTAACCCGCCGAATTAATTGCAGTTAAATTGCTAACCTCAACGCTAACCTCCGAGCCTTAAACCCTGAACTCCTAACCTTTTGCCCGAACCGTAACCACCCCCCCGCCCGACCCCCCCCCCACCTCACTCTAATTGTAACCAAAGTTCCAACCTTAGCCCCGTCTACCTGAACCAAAGTAGGCCCGAAACGGTAACCTTTGACCCCGTAGGCCCCGGACACCTGACACCAGTGCCTTGGCAGAGGCGCGAAAAGGATGCGAGCGGCAGGGCCACCCGTGTTTAATTAGGGGGTGCCCTCGACGGTTGTCGGAGTAACGTCTCTCGCGCGGCATTGGCGGCGGCGGCGGTGGCTCTGGGCCCCCCCCCCCCCCCCCGGCGCGCCAGGTGGGGCTCGGGAAGAAGGCGGGCGGGCGGGGGCCTGGTGATGTCGCTCCTCCGTCGTAATGTGGCTCGGGAGAGATGGGCGGCGCGGGCGACGTGGGGAATATGCGAGGAGACGGCGTTAGAAGCACGGCCGCCCCCGCTCACGTTATTGGCTCGCTCGTCAGTGGAGGCAATATTTTTTCCTAATATGTATCGGGGGGCTGCATTAGGGAAATTGGGGCGGAAAGAAAAAAATTGGGGAGGCGGGGCGGGAGGAACGAGGGTGGAGAAAGGCGACGGCGGTGGGGTTGGTGGCGGTGGGGTTGGTGGCGGTGGGGTTGGTGGCGGGGGGGACGGAGGCGAGCGGAGAGGAGGAAGAGACGGGACGGGTGGGGTGGCTGGGTTGGAGGAGGAGAGGGAGAGAGAGCGCGAGCCGTGCGGAAATGTTTCACGACGCGTTTTTTCTCCCCCCCCCCCGCCTCGCTCTCCACAATAAAACGGTGATTCATTCAAATCCCAGTCGCCTCAGCCTCATCGGCGTCCCGTTAGGACACGCTGCGTGATGGCTCATTTGTCAGAGCAATTCCTGATGATAATCGTATTCATTTCTTGAGTGTTTAATCCCGCCGTTTCCGCGACGGCGCGATGTTCGCGCCGAGGCTTGTTCTCGCGTTCGCCGGCAGTCCCGGGCTGGACAAGTGCCGGCTCCGAGTTGTCATCACGAAGCTCACTCGCTCGCCCGCCCGCCCTCTCGCTCGCTCGCCCGCTCGCCCGCCCACCCACCACCCGCTCCCTCCCTCCCTTGCCCGCCCGCCGTGAAACGGAATGCATCCCCTGTGCCCTCCCTCTTTCGGTCCCGTCCGCCCTCCCCTCTCCACCACCCCACCACCTCCACATCCCCCCCACCGCACTCCGTCCCTCCCGCGCGCGCTGCGTTTCCGCTGTCTGTCGCTCCCCGGTTCCCGACGCCCACTCCGATGGCCCCGGAACGCGTGACGCGACGGCGTGCGCGCGTGCGCACGCCGCGGAGCGTTTGCGTGCGTTCCCCCCGCGCGTGTGTTTGTGTGCATGGACGCTCACGCCGCACGGCGCACGCCATCGCGCGTCCCCGTGTACGTCGCGGCACCCGGCTGGCCGGCCCCTTCCCCGCCCGTCGCCAAATAAATTATTTCCATTATTCGTTTCGTCGAATCCGCGTTTGCCTTTTTTTTTTAACGTCCCCCTTGTGTTTGTGTTTTCCCCCTCCTCCCTCTCTCGCTCTCTCTCTCTCGGCGCAGATCGATTCCCTGCTGTGGAGAAGTAAGGAGGCGGAAGCGGCTTTCCTCGGCCTCTACAAGAGGGTGGCAGACGCTCCAGGTATGGCCCCTGCGTGCGACGCGGTCACCCGACCTCGCTGACCAACCGCGATCGCTCCTCCATACCGGGGGGGGGGGGGGGATTGGAGATTCACACGCGGTCACCTTCAGCACCTCATCCCGCACCACCTCATCCCGCACCACCTCATCCCACACCACCTCATACTGCACCGTTCCGCCTCGCCGCTCCGCGCATCCCATTCCGTGCGACGGGCCGCATGCGTGCGTGCGGGCGGGCGGACGGCTGCTCGCGAGTGTGGACCCATTGTGCGCCGGTGTCGTGGGTGAACTTGACTGGCTGTCTGCGACGCGTGATGAATTCCCGCTGCTAACGCAGGCGGCGCTTTTTTATTTTCCCCGGCGTGCGCTCACCCACACGCACAAGCGTGTGTGCGCCCGTGCGAGTGTGTGGCTTCTCCTCGGCAGTGCACACAGCCCTGTCGAACAAGCTCTAAAATGACATCCAAATGTTTTTTTTTCTCAACAGAAGCATTTTACTGGTTTTGTTTTACCAGTTCCATTTGGGTTGTCACAGTTTAGTGACACTCGGCATGGGAGTGTGGTGGGTTATGACGATGACGATGATGCTGATAATGATGTTTACAATTTTTACGATAACGATCGTATAGTCGTGATCTTGCCGAGAAAGTGTCGCTCGGTTAGTGGTGACACAATGAGCCAGCTGAATTGGGCATCGGTGACGGGATGTTGGTCGTACGGGATAGGCTCTTGGGTTTAAGGGGCTCGGGGTCTGGAATCTAGAAAACTTGCGGACAAGTTGGCATGCGGTGGCTCATTGATATGCTTACGCTCACGATAGACGGATTGATTAATGCCTGCAATCGTCGATTATTGATTATTTATGAGAATTTGATGCTGTCTCACTTAGGATAATGGATCAGACATAAACTTTAGAAACGAGATGGTTAAAAACAAGATGCTAAATTGATACCGGAATTGAATTAGGATCTAGAATCGTGACAATCGACTTTCTGTGGTGGTGAGCGGTAGTGTAGCGATAAGCGCGCTGCGCTCCGAACCCGGGGATCCGCGTTCAATTCCTGCTCACGACCAACACCAGTGACGATCATCTGAACCGATCCTTGGCCTCCCCTAGGTGGACGCAGCCTCAAATGAGTACCTGGTGTGGCGTGTAAACATCACCACTAGGGGAGACAAAGGTGGCCCAGCGTGGTGCTGGCCACCCACCCCTTCGTGTGCCGTGCCGGCCTTCATAGGTGCTACTCGTTAACAGCACTTGCCCCAACAGTCCGTTAAGGCTATACGGGGGGAGGGAAAGGGGGGATCTTTGTCTTTGGTGCAGGCGAGGGCTGCAGAGGGTGAATTATTTACAGGCTCGGTGTGAAGAGCGGAATAGCAAGCAGAATCGGGATGCCAGAACTTGAGGGGTTAGGGCACGGCAAGGTACAGAGGTGTGGCCGTCAGAAGATACCTCTAGGCCAGAAGAGGGGGCTTGGGTACCGAGATGATGATGGTCAGGGGAGAACTCAAGAGGCCAGGATAAGTCTCATTCGTCAAGAGTGACCTCGGTCGGTAAAAAATGGTAACAGCTAAAAATAAATAATTTGTAAAAACGTAGAGTAAATGAAGCAGATAGAAATTGGAGCAAAGAAATCTTGAAAAATAAAGTCGGTCATCATCCGTCATCGTCAGTCAAAGTCACCATCATCGCGCAACCATCCATTTATTCGTCCATCTGTTATCGAGACTTTTTCTTTTCTAACCGGCCGAGAGCCCCATTGAGACCGGAGAGCCGTTTGAAAGGCGGATTTGGCCAGGGCAGACGAAACGTTTCCTCCTTGCGTGCAGCCTCCGGAAAAAAAAACCCACCACAAACACCATTCTTTATTTATTTAAAAATACATCTACCCCCCAAAACACTGAGCCCACATTATTTTGTGTTCGGTAACCGAGTCTCTGTGGTTCCCCTATCGGAGAGAGCGGAGAGAAAAAAACCCGGTTTGTGCCCTGCATCTAGAGTTGCCAACCATCCTGGAATAGCTTCAGTCAAGAGTTGGTAACCCCCCCCCCCCTCTTCACCCCGAACCTCGGCATGACCGCGGCTCATTGGTAGTTCAACCAGCTCACGGGGTAGTTCAGCCGCAGCAGGGGAAGGAGAGGCAGTAGCGAGACAGAGTTGAATGCCACCTGAGCTAGAAATAGCCAGGGGCTGACTAATATCAGACGGATACCGAGAGAGAGGGGAGCGCTACTGTACGCGTAAATGTATCTATGCACTTCTTTCGCACCGTACGTAGCCCACTGCGGTGTATTTATTGTAGAGTACAGAACAGTAAAACCCCGGCAAGCCCAGGCCATAGGTTGGGAGCCCTGATCCAGCCAAGTGGAACGATCTGGCCAGGCGTGCTTTCAGTGAGAATCATTGTAAAAAAAAAGCTATCCCCAATACAATAACGCCATGTATTGTACAGCGTGGTGCAGATATCTTTTGACCCCCCCACCCCCCTCCATTTAATTCTAAAACTTAATATTGTATAAAGTAATGTTTATTTAAAACGGAAGTGCAAAGGAGGGAAAAAAATGTTAGGGGTCAAATTAATTGGGGGGTCACGAAACATCCGAATCCCCGCCCTGTGCAGTTTGCGTGCACCTATGTGATGCGTGTGAATTGATTGTGTAATGTGTGTGCGTGTTGTTGTCACAGAGCAAAAAAAACACAAAAGTGTACTGTATGTGTGTGTATTCTCTGTACTTATGTGCGGTGGTGTTGATGTTACCATCCATCACCACCCCTCCCCCCGATCGCCCCACCACTAAGAGATTACCGCAACTACATTAAATGTAACACTTTGAACTACATGTATGACAAATTGTGCACAATTTAACGCGCTCGTGTGCATTTCATGACATCCGTTATATCACATAATGCACTGTAAAGTGTGAACTGTGCAAGTTACTTCATTACATTGATAATATTCTTGCGATTTAAATACTTCGATTTTATGTAATAGCTCATCTGGTGTAGGCGCAATGCGAAATCCGGCTAGCTGGGGTCCAGCTGGCCCGTGGGTTTTTTGTCTCCGAGATGAGGATGATGATGATGATGCTGCTTATAATAATTATGTTTTCACAACTGACAAAAAAAATCCAGGACTTTTTTTATGTCCCGTGGAGAGTGATAGATTTCCCAGGATGATAGAAAAAAGGTACCTTGAACAGAAAACGATTCTGGGACGGGTTGCCACACTACCATGCCAGCATTCTGCGGGCCTGCTCTGCCTCATTTGCTATCGAACATCTGTTCAACTACTGGACCGTCTGGGAAGAAAAACAGAGCTTTATAGCTCATCGGATTCTTCCAGTAACAAATATTTGGATTGGTTATGAAATGGCAAAAGGCGTTGGGGCAGGAGGAATCAAATGACATGAAAGAGCAGAGGACAAGAGACAGACCGAGAGAGACCGAGAGACACACGGGTGTCCAGTTGTCCGTCAGGGTCATCGTCTGAACATTTGTGACTGTCGGCGTGTGATATTTCTCGGCCCTGTTGCTGCAGGTAGCTTGTGTTTTGTGATATTGTTGTTGTTGCGTATAATTGTTTTTCGTTTAGACGGGAAATTTAATCGAAATGTTGGGGTTCAGGAGGCATTAGGTAGGTGTGTGTAGAGATGGATGGGTGGACATGGCCATTGCAAACAAAAACCACGTACAGTAGACTAAACAATAACAAGATTGTGGCTGGTGTTTTGAATTGTATTTGTGTAGACATTTGTAAGTGAATTATGTGCCGACAGTAGTGTTAATGTAAAAAATGGAAAAGCGATTTTAATGATACAGTAATTATAAAACGTACATAAATGAGGGCATGAACAATTTTGGTTTAATTTTACCAGGTAAGGCTCACTGAGCTAATATAGCTTTTTTTTTTCAGAGACAACCTGGCTAACACAAATGATAGCTCAACGAAAGTGGCTTACCGCGTTTGAAATTTAGAGCAGCCAAATAACTCTTAAAACGCGTGATGTTCATTCTGAATGTGGAGGGGGAAAAAAACCTGGAGGGACCCGGAGAAAAATAAAAGCAGTTACCAGGGACTGTATCAGCACGCGGTAGCAACGCGACGATGCAATACAACACCAGCAGCTCATCAGATAGGTAAATAAGGATGGTGGGGGGGGGCGAACAAAACAAAATAAATGGTGCCCTCATTGCTCATTTAATATTATTCTTGAAACAAAGACAACACACATGGGGAGGCGGCGGCGGCAGCTCTACAAACTCCGGGCCCACGAAATCACGGCGTCCTCAATCCCAGATTTTACCTCGTGCCGTAGGCCATGCATACCCTATTATGTGACCTAGATTGCTGGGTGCAGCGAGATGGGAATTATGCAGATGGCTGTGTCACACCAACTCCCTCCCCCTTCCCTCCCTCCCTGCGCAAGCACAGAACCCTTCACCCAACCTCCCACTCATCCCTTCCCTCCCTCACCTACCCACCTCCCTACACCCCAACCACTCTTCCTCTTTCTGGCATTCCGGTATTCCTGGAGGGATATTCCCAAAATAAATTGCCCAAAGAAAGCGAGGCGGGGCGGCTTTTTTTTTGTGGGGGGGGGGGGCAGGCGGCTCGCAGCGCCTGGTGAAGTAATTGGCGGACGCGGCCGAAGCAGCGTCTTGTTTGCTCCGTGCTTAATCGAGACACCTCTCTGTGTCTGTGTCTCTCTGTCTCTCCCCCACCTCATCGTGTTCCCTCCTCCCCTTTCCGCCGGACGCCGCCCTCCCCCATCCAACACACAACAGCCACCCATCGCCGCTCCCCCACCGCTACCCCCACACCCCCCAAGCAGCCTGCTTGCCCTGACTGCCTGTCCACTTGCCCTCCCCATCTCCCACCGCCCCCACCACTCCTTTCCCTGCCCTCCCCTCCCTGCCCTCCCTTCCCTTCCTCCCCGTGGCCATCCCTGTAATGCAAAGTACAGTGCGTGACCAAGTGCATTTGGAGCAAATTCGGCGAG